AAGGTACCAGCTACATAGAAAAAGTAATTAAAAAAAAAAAACACTCCTGATTTGTTTTAAAAGCTATCTTCAATAGGAGACTTGTTAATTTACCTACCTGTTTTTGATGTGGTAATATATTGCAAGAGCTACACTGTAAAACAAAATATAGAATTAATACCTTGGAGCTGATGTTCAGAACATATATTGGTAAACAATACTAAGTTATTATACACAATTAAAACTTAGCACAAAACTTGACAGCTAGTATGATAATTAACAGATTTCTGTCCATGATTTGAAATAGATTAAAAACTGTAAAAATTAATTTAGGAATATTTTGCTCAGCACACTCAAAAGTGGCGACTTTTCACCAGATTTCCTTATGGAAATATTTGGGCTTCTTATAGATGTTAAAAACAAAATAAACAACACATTATACTGGAAGAAGCAGCAGCATGTTAGTTTGACCTGGCTCCATAGTGTCTGTATAGATCGGGTGCTTCAGCAGGGCATTTTGGTGCTTTCATCTAAAGCTGACTCAATCAAACAAAGCCAAAAGCCCCACTGAAGCTCCCAATCGATACAGATGTTGGGTGAGCCAGGTCCAACTAATGCGATGCTTCTTCTGGGCTCGGAAGTGCAACAAGTTTAAAGTAAAACAATCTCTGTTTGTTGTGGGGTTAGTTTGGTTTTTTGGGGTTGTCTTTTTTTGGGGGGGAGGTTTAATGTCTGTAAACAGCCTTGTATGTCAGTGATGGGTTGCATACCCTGCCATTCATTTTGTCTTGCCCTTTCTCCCCCACCCTACATATATAACACTAACTTTCTTCTCAAAGGTCTACTCCCATTAAAGTTAATGGCAAAACTCCTGGTGCTTTTCAAGGTGAAGGGTAAGGGTTTAGATGGATTGGATACTCTCTGGCAGACAAAACGCAAGTCAATAAAATTCCTTCAGGGATTTACAATCCATTACTACATTAGGAAATCTGTGGTTCTGCTAAGGTAACTTGAATTATTTTATGTTCAGTGGCTTGTGATTTTTACTCCCAATTCCGTTATCTTTCAGATATTTCCCCATTTAATTACCTTTTAGAAAAAAAGGTATGGTATCAATTTATAAGTTACTTATTTTATTTTAAGGGAGAAGACTCCCCTGATATTATTATATTATACTTGTAAAGTATCAATGGAACAAAATTTAGTTGCCTGAAAATACAAACTGATCCAACTCAAAACTGAGGACAGTGGAAGAAAAAAAAACATGGCTCCCTGGGATTATTCTCCAGTTTAATTCCTGACTGTTTAAACATCCCCCCAGCTGCAGAAGTTAAACACCAAAAGACAAAGCAAAACCACCACTTGTTCCAATATGCTGAGCAGAAGCTAAAAGTAAAAGGGTGGATAAAAAGGGAAAAGGAAAGTCACTGTCCCTGTTTGCTGACAAATGTTCCATCACTGTTTCACTGTTAAATGCCAGTCCTGAGTTGAGGTATGATTTCCTTTTAATGCATTTAACATAAAAAGGCACAAGTTAATTGTTTGTTCAACAATTTTCCTTCAGAACTTTTACAAGAAAGCTGTCCTGTCTCTAATGCACCCTATTTTGGAAAAACAGCATGCTGCAGATATAATGTATGTTTCTCTTAGTGGACTTTTGAATTATTTTAGGTTTTTCTTTCTTCCTTTTAAAAAAAAAAAAAGAAAGTGTGCAATTACTTCCCCCCACCACCATCCCCCACCACCTCAGAGGAAGGTAAATGCCATGTTTTACAAGTTGTACTTCGTACTAGCAACATAGCTTTTTAGCCGTAATACTACTGGGGACCTTAGAAGTTCTCAGATTTCAGTGGTTAACTACAAGTTGCAGTTTTATTAAAAAAGCAAAAATTTAAAAATAGATGCAGAGGACATTTATCTCCTCTACTGAACGCATTTCACCACTAACAACAACAACTTCCGTGAAAAAAAATCCCTTAAAACAGGGAACCACAGGTTAATACTAAAAAAAAAAAATAGCCTTCAGGAACATATGTACAACTCCAGCTGATTCAGCAGAGTGGCACATGGCCATCTGAAAGCACAGCTCTGGCTTTGTACCAAAAGATCACAAAGATTAGAAAAATGCTTACTGCTTGGAAACCTTTGGAGCAGTCCTAGTGCTAATCCTCAGTTTCCAAACATTAGTGGATTCGTTCAGATCCCTGAATATTTTTATTTACTTTTTTTACTGTGTTTACTGACAACATATTGGTCAGGCCTGCATTCTGTGCATCCATGGTACACAGGGTTGGGGAAAGCTTTCCAGCACTGTTCTGGACCTCTAATCCTGAGGTTTATTAGGAACAAAACCAACCCCTGATTCAGATCAGGGCACCATAAGAACTTCTATTTGCAGTGGTTATAAATATGACACTAAAAGAAATCAGTTGTTCAGCTAGGGCTACCACAGTGTACAGAACACATAATGCTTTGGCCCTGCACACCAATGCTTCTTCCCTATGCCCCCCTCCCTCTGCCTCCAAGAACACCCTCTGCCCAAGCAGAAACATCCTATGCCAGTGGAAGATCTCCTTAAACTGATGCTAGAAAAACAGCTTTAAAAAACTCCCTGGCATCACCAGCATGTTACAAAGAAAGCTAGAAAAAACCCCCCTAAGGATCTATCCTAATAATGTTTAGGGAGAGTAACCAACATGCTGGCCTCTTATCCTGAGATCCTTTGCATGCTGTTTTGAATTAAAAATTTAACAACAGGGGAAATGTTAGGCAGTAAAAACAGAGAAGAAAAAGCTAAAGATGGTATTTATTAACTTGTATGCCAATTCCCCTCTACAGAAGTTTAAAACATGTTTTAGTGACCATCAGCAGTAAACTATTACTTTGGATGTATTAGTCTGTTGTATAAATACCTTTTGTAGCACAGGCCTTGAATTAAACTTGTACATTTGAAAGGACTGAGGTAAAAATCACTCTACCAACAAGTGAAGAGGATGTAATAACCTTCACAAACAATGCAGAATGCCGGAACATTTAAATGTTTTTCCCCCTCACTGTATAGGGTCATCAAGTACAATACTTCAAAATCTCAACCTCATTTCGACAGCAGAAAGTGACCATACCCTTATGCAATGTTGAAAACTGAGGCATCTCCAACAAACCAAATAAGCACTGGATGAGCTGTTACCTAACTGAGCAATTGAAAGCTCATTCAAATAAGCCGGCAAACTGACATTGGTTCATCCATCATGGCTATTTTAGAAATCCCTGGTCACTTGTATCTTGGAAGACATAGGCAATTGGGCCATGGGGTGGTAAATATCAAAACTAAAAACTTTTGAAAACCTCCCCCTCACCATTACTTCTGAAATTCACCCACCTATGGCTTTGCACAAAGTCCCCCACACCTTTGAAGACTGGTATTTGCACTGTACACTAAGCAACTTTTTGGAAATATTAAAAGATGCATTTAAGTCAAAAAATTTTAAAATACCCACCATTTAATTGTATACTTGAGGTTTGGTTGACTGACCGTGCTGTCATCCAGGAAAATAGTGGAGCAAGAACTGTACTTCCTTTTTAGTTGCCCAGGAGGGTGCTACAGGAAACATTCAAAAGAACAATGGCAATTACATAACAACAAAGCCTTTTGGGGGGGGGGGGGGGGGAAAATCAGAATTAAGGAGCAGTCACTCTCCCTCTCCTCCTCTCAAGCACATATACACTTAAGTTACCACATTTTGAAAAGTTTGCTGGAACAAATCAACGTTGCTCACGTAAAACTCAAAAAATGCCACCTCAACCAATGGTGTTACTTCCTAAAAAGCCTCATTTATCCATTAGCTGTTTAAACACCAACATGTAGATTTATTATTTGTTACCCTACCCAATTTCCCACTACTTTCCGCATCCACGTAAAGAAGTTTAAAACATAAGCAAGAGCAGCACTGTGGTTCTTGATTCAAAAGTCAGGGTGAGAGAGCAAGATATGCAATAGGGTAAAATGGCAAGCAGTCAAAACAGAATTAGAAATTAATGCAAAACAGAGTCTGAAAAACGAGAGGAAACTAGAATACACAGTAAAAAAAAACAGGAAGGAAAATATCTTGTGGAGACTAAAGGTTTTATAAAAGGAAAAGCATAGGAAAAATACAGCAATCAGAACTTATGGTAGAGGTGGCATCTTTTATTAGACAAATTAGATATTTGCAAAAAATTACAAAAATATAAAAATATATATATTACAATGCAAAGACTAAAATTTCTCCCAGGTGGAAATGAAAATTCATATTTCACAGGAGAGCCGAAAAGTTAGAGCAGTCTATTTACCTATTTAGACTACTCATTATTCAGTCTACTTATTTAGTCTGATCTTTTATCTGAGCCTAATTTAAACAAAATGAATTTTTCTGACCAGGAGATTTTATACCTTCAGCTCTCCTATGAAATATGAACTTTTATTTCCACCTAGAAGAAATTTTAACATCTATGCATTCTCCTATACCTGAAAAAGGGTGAGTGCACCCAAAAGCTTGCAAATAAAGAAGTATTTTTAGCAAATATCTAGTTGGTCTAATAAGAGATATCACTTCCACCATGAGTTCTGATTCCTTTTGCCTGTAGACCAATGCAGTTACAACCTGTATCCCTAGGAAAATATTAAAAAGTTGGTTTGGGAAACTACAGACCCTAGCATTTATATATAAATTCAGACACTCAATACAACATAAAAAAACAAACAAACAAAAAAAACCCAACATACAACGATGCAGAAGAGGAGAAAAAATAAATGCCTTATTTTTCACTTTTAAATAGAAAAATCTTTGATAACATTTTGTCCCTAATACTCTGCTAATTCAACTACATATGAAAAGGGGGGAAGGAGGCAGCTCCGTGTACAACTCCGAAATCAAATTAGAGCTGAGAAAACTGCCCACCTTTAGAGAGGCTTCTCCAGTGAGGGCCTCTCAAGTGCTATTAAGAGTAGCTGACATCCTCCTGCCTTTAAGAATCCTATAACTTCTCATTTAATGGTTTTCCATTAACGACTCCCTACAATTCTGCCCCTCTGTATCCTTTCAGCATGCCAAGGGTCTTTTTGATACAGGGCTGTTAAGGCAGGCCAACTAAAGTTGTGAAAGGCAGTAGGTCTACAAACAGTGTTATATTATATTCACTTTACTCCTGAATGAGAGCATCAATATGGAATTTGAAAGTAGTGCAGAGTGTCATCACACTTTTACTCAACTCATTTTAATCTTCCTGAGAGTCCTATGCAGATTTGGTCAGGCAATGCATGGACACATGCCAACGCACACTTAGTGAAGATCTAACCCATGGTTCCTTGGCTTCCATCACAAGGGCCCTTCCCTTACTTAGTGTGTGATGCCCGTACTACCTGCAAAGCTAGGGATAAGCATTACACAAAAAAGAGTTTAAGTGATCAGAAACTGGTTTAAACCTGTAACAGAACAGACATTCAGTGCACATAAACCAGTCTGAAAATGGCTGAAACTGGTTTGAGATAAGTCTGATACTACTCAATCAGGTTTAACTGATTTGGGTCAAACCGGTTTATGTAGTGTCTGTCCCAGACACCTTGATGGTTTAAGTTAAATCAGAGTCCCCCAGCACCCTGGCATGCTCTCTAGGCTGGGCAGGGTGCTCTGCTCCACAGCAGTGATAGCCCCTCCCCTCTGCTCCCTGGCTGGAGCTTGGCAGAAACTGCAGGCATCTGACTGGCTGCCCTCCTCCCCATCCCCTCTGTCTTACACAGACACCTCTCAGCATTAGCTAGCAAACCACACGCTGGCTACAGTCCATGCTGTGGCAGACAGGACAAAAAGGCAGAATCAACAGGTAGTTGGTAATGTGATAATCACTTAATGGGGTGATAAACACTGTGTTATCACTTTCCAGCTGGGCTGGTCAGGTCAGAAGGGGGCAGGGCGAACCCCTTCCTAATCAGAGCATCCTGCTGAGACCTGGCCATACCCCCCTCAGCTCAGCACTATGGAAGGAAAGGGAAGGCTGCTCTAGCACCCCCCAGCTTCTAGCCTGAGCCACTACAGGCATGTGCCTGTAGGTCTGGGATGTTCGTGCAGTTACAAACTGGTTTAGATGAGCCAGATTAGACTGACCTGCAAAGATTGAATCAATGCAGGCTCAGGCTTTTTGAATGCACGTTCCTAGCCCAAATGAGCAACTAGAGCACTGCTGTCACACTCCCACTTCTCATACATTTTAAGTTATGAACTTCCTTTTCAATAACACTAACATGAAGTCTCCACTGATTAAAATTACATGCAGTTCCAACTGTGTTTCTTCCCTTAGCTATGAGCAGAAGTATTAGAAGGCTTTTTGTATCTTGAAAACAGATCAGGTGTTTTAAATCACTTTAGAAGTCTGTACAAATAATTTCTGGGCTTTCCAACGAAGTCTAAACTAGGCCCCAGATTCAAGCTACACATTTGAGGATATTAAATATCAAAGAGGATGTAGTATTAAAGAGAACATGAAATCTGAGTTAAGATGGGGGAGAGGTCACTAACCCTCCATAAATGCTTGAGATGAGAAATGCACTTGGTCCTAAATTTGGGGTCTCTCAGTTCAGCTATTAGTGTATACAGAGCAAGACCCAAAATGAAGAAGTGAAAGCACTGGAAGTGATAATACGGTACTATGGGATGTGGCGGAAATGACTAAAGACTCAGGTACTTTACAACTTCTACCCTACCATCTGCTCTTTCAGATCTCTATGTTCAGTTCTTCAGTACATTTCACAACCATGATAAAAACAAAGAAACTCAAGAACAACTGAAAATGAATCCAGCTAGTATCTGAAAAATAAACACCCACACAGGTCAACATCACTAAAGTTTTTAAAAAAGAATCCAACTACCAGGTCCAAACATCAAGAATATTTGTTATAAAATATAAGGTAAATGGTCAGATTCACTTAACGTAACTGATAATTTTTTTTTCCTTTAGTAAATAACAGTAATAGATACCCCCAGTTTCTAGTCCACAATCTAATCCGTCTTTGGTGGTACACCAGAAGGGTGATCTCCCCTCTTTCCTGCTCCCCTTTCAAAACATATTCATTTCCTTCCACATTCTGACTTCCTGGTTCTACAAGGGGTCTTCACAGGCCTCTCCAGTCAAGTTAAAGGCTTGTCTACACAAGAGAGCTAGTGTGAAACTGCTATCCTTCAATAACTCCATGTATAGACAGTTTCTAAGTACTGGGACAGAGGAGGTCCCAGAGGAAGAGAAGCTACCAAATCATACCTGATGCTGGTATAATGATGATAATGCAAGGACGCACACGCTGAATTTGCGCAAGGCCCTGAAAACACATTAGTTCTGATGATGTAAAGCAAATAAACAAATGTCTGAATTAACATCCTTACGGTCCAAATTAAAACTGGATGCATGTGCGCCTGTTCAGAAGGAGATGTTACAGACATATTAGTATAAATTGACAGTAAAATGGCAGCCTTAAAATTGGAATTTCCTACATTTATTTTCATAAAAAAAGAAATAATGCCTTAAATACTATTGTATTTAAAAATGAAAGGGGAGAAGGGAGGTGGAAGAGAAGAAAGGGGGAGAGAAGGAAGACCCCTGAACAGACATTTAACAGCTAAAAACAGCACATTAGCAGCTATTGGTTTACTCACTATTACAACCCTTCCTGGCTTTCTTTTACAGATCATTGATCAAGATAATTACAGGTAACCCCGCTTAGCGCTCTTAAGGTTCCTGAAAATCTGTGCGTTTTTCATTTCACTCCCCAACACCTCCATTTCCATTTACACCAATTTGCTTTCTTGCCTGCATTGCATGCCAGGCACTGGCTGCTTTACTATTCCTTCCATCCAGGAACGGCACACACAACAACTGCAGGTGCTTCCTCAGCCTGACTAAGGGTTTTTTCAACCTGAAAGCTGGCACGTTACAAGTTTTGCTTGTCAGCACCTACCTCCTTGAAAACTTGGCAGGCTCCGTAGCCTCAGCAGTAGCTACCATGCTTGCCGTTTTCACCCTACCTGTGCTGTCACCCTTACAAGTGATACGAGTTTTGTTTTCAAGACTTTGAGGTACAGTTTCCCAGGAACCCCCGCACCTATCTCCTTAGAAAACTTGACAGGCTTTGTGGCCTCAGCAGGTGCTACCCTCCCTGCCACTTTCATTCGACTCGGGCAAGAAATGACAAAGTTATAGGCAGTGTCGTGATTCCCCATTATAGCCTAGGGGCGAAACATCAAAACAGTTTTAACGGAACGGAATGGAACGCCGGTTTCAAAACTAAACGAAACTGGAAACAAAACCCTGTCCCATCAAAACGGTGAAGCAGAAATCAAAACAAAGTGGTGCTGTTGTGCGCAGCCATACTAAGCGTGACGTTGCCTCACAATTTAAAGCGTGTGCTGCTGAAGACTGCACGAACCACTAAGTCATGCTATCCTGGCAGTAAACGTACTTTCAGGAAGAAGTCCGAGAGGTACATTGACTAAAATTTTAGTTTCTTTGAAGAACAAAAATTCACAATACCACCTCAGAACCAAGCTGACTATGAAAGGATGGGTAGAAAGG